CCGAGAACAATAGTCATATCTCCAGATGTTTGAATGCATAATAAATAATTTTAAACATTCTTTTTTTTATACGCATAATCGATAAATGGAATAATATGCCAACGGAAATTCAGTGCTGAGGCGAAAAAATGGAACAGACTCAGATGTCATCTTGCAAATTTTTGAACACTAAGTTCTTCCAACGTGTGATGTATTATATATTTTATACTTAGTATTTTAAACAGTGGTAAGTAATTAAGGACGGTGCCCACTATTGTTACTGCGCACATTTTCTGCGCATGCCAAGGTAGTCGCGCGCGACGCGAAAGAAATGCGCAACACGCAGGACACGCGGACTGGTTTTGTCTCCGCCAAGTCTGGGAGGTTCTAGTTATTTCTTGTGGAAAAGATGCGTCGTTTTCAACAGATGAAAAATAATTTCTATTTACCTGTCAGTTCTTTGAAAACCGATGAAGTATGTGCACGTTGCTATTTCTGCCGTATGGTCGATCTGACCAAACATTTTATAGTCAAACAAAAGTCAATTCTAAAACATCAAAAGTTATTGGTTCGAGATGTTACGCTTGGAGCTTGGGTATTAAACAATCCCTTAATAGGTAAGGATCAGTAAATCAGAAGGAAAATAGCTCAAAGTCCGCCGCTTAATTGAGAAACTGCAAGCTTACCTTTCACTCGCGTCCTTCGCATTTTATCGGCTAATCGGCTATAAACACTTTCCCGAATATTTCTTTAATTTTGTAAGATTTTATGTAATTTTTCAGCAGAAGATAGACTTAAAGCGTTCGAGTACATACAGATATCCCTTTTATTGAGAGTCCGAGGCTTTTATTAGTCGAACAAACAAGAAAAAACTATCACAAGATTGCTTGGATTGCTGAGATCGCAGCTTCACAAGTAGTTGCGGACCGCAAAGGAAACGCTTTCATCGTGGAGAAAATCGTAAAAAATTGTTATGCTTTTTACTATTATCATTGTTATTTAAGCATTTTGGCAGTAAGCATTAAAATTATTGACTGATGGGCAGCTTGTTGTGTAGATTTCTTAAGGTTCAATTTTACGCCACACATAATCTGGACATTTAGACATAGCTGCCATTTGTTGCTGTTTACGAACTAAAGATGGAAGGTAAATAAAGTATTTCCATTCTAAGACTTTCTTAGGTTCAACAGACACTGTTAAGCCTAAAATTAACATTTGGGAACCAAAAATAGTGAATGAACATGACACAGAATGCTACAGTAAAAAAAAATCAAAACGAAATATATAAAATGATCATTATAGCCCAGTTTATATATGAGGGTACATAAACGCATTCGGTACAACTACTTTCGCAGTATTCAGCTTTTTTAAAAGAGAGCTCATGATCATGTATGGAACTTGAGTCTATACATGCAAATAATTTATGTGATATGAAACTTGTGGCAAAGCCCGAAAGAGATAGCGCAAAGCACAGATATAAGATCATTGAATGCATGCAAGTTTAATAACAGTATTCGATCGAGGTACCCGGTAAAATGATAAAGAACGATAGAGGGTTTACAATCCATATTACATCTACAGTTAAAAAAATCTTGAGGACATGTAAAGGTAAACAAACGATTGAAGGAGTACCTATCTAAGAGTCCCTGTCGACTATTTTCCACTACAGGACAGCAGTTTTTTTACAGCGCCAGCCTTGATCTTGAGCTCGACATACTACTCTATGTGCGCTGGAAGTAATCTTTAATCCCTTGGAGATTGCTCTTCTCCAAAAATTTAGTTAAATTTTTGAGACGGAGAAGCTCCAGTTGAATGAAATATTATATTTGTTTTTCTTATGACCCATGAAATGTCCTGCTTCACTTTCTGTTTTTGCTCTCTTCCGTGGGTTGTTGTTCTCTGACTGTCAGCCATTGTGGATATCCCACAGTACTCAGCGTTGAGTAAAGCAATTGTGAAACTGACCAGGGAGGGGATGGGAAAAATTGTAAATAACCCCCAAAAAGATTAAGTTAAGGCCGAAACCAACCAATTTAACTTCTAAAAATGCGTGGTAACCCTACTTTTTATCTTACCAAATGACAGTAATGAGCCTACTCAGCAAACGATCAATTTTTGGTTCGGGGAAAATGTCGTTTAAACTATTTTTAAGGCAAACGCGTGAAGAGGCGTAACTGCTGATAACTTCCCAGTTGTGCTGATATTTCAAAAAAAGACGTATAAAGAGCAGTTTTTATGTTATCACTTGTTGCTAATTTTAAAACTTTAGTGCAATTATCATTGCATTTGTGCCAGTTCACGTGTTCACTTCAAAATTTTGGGAAAAAATAACTTTTTATCATTTTTCTAAAAAATGCCTATTCAGCGTTTTTCTCCATATTGAAGCGCAGTTATCTCTGAAAAATGCGTGGTTACCCCCAGTTTTCTTTTTGGATTTCAATAGCCCCTGACATGATCTACTTGTCTCACATAGTCATTGTCTGGGAAAAAATACTTCCCATTAGTGGGCACCGTCCTTAATGTTTTAATTTATTTTATTACCAGGAGATAAACTCGAAAGGGATACTGCTCCTTTATCTCCTTTTCACTTTTCCGTGAATTTGTGAATAAACAGTTGCTATTATTATTTTCAAGATCTTTATTCACGGCGAGAGCCTAGTCAAAAGACGTAGTGAAAGGTATAAACAGAAATGTCACCGACAAATATAGTAGCCTGTGAACAGGCTCTCTGTTTGGGGAAAAGGTGAAAAAATCGCGACGAGGGAGGAGGGGAAAGGGTGAGTCAGTGTTCTCGCCAGTAGGAGCTTGCATCAGGATCTAATGCACAGCGGGTGCCGTGGAACGACGGTCCCAAATGTTTATCTACAGGCTCTAACCCTTTTCCCTCCCTCTCCTCGCGATCTTTTCACCCTTTCCCCCAACAGAGAGCCTCTTCACAAGCGACATATATGAGGGTCAGTAATGGCGTTTAGTGGTTAGTGTTATTTGCCTATAATTTTTAGTGTTTCCTGTTAAATTTTTTAATGTTTACTGTTTCCTAAGTTATACTACTACATGAAAAATTACTGCAATTTGATTGGCTTAGAGCAGTGGTATTTCAGCTTAATTTGAAATACCTACATGTGAAAATTACATACCTTTTGTGGGTAGTAGTATAAACAAATAATAGCATGATTTGTACGTGATATTTGGCATAAATACCACTCGTGATATTTCAAAATTGTCTCAAATTTCACTCGCCTAACGGCTCGTGAAATTACGTATAACAATTTCGAAGTATCACTTGTGGTATTTATGCCAAATATCACTACAAATCCTGCTATTTTCTATACAAATTACTGTTAAGTGTTTGGAGCTTTCTTCGAACATCTTCGGCAATAGTGGGACCTCTTCTTTAGTCTTCGGAAATCTTCGGCAGTCTTCGGAAATCGTCGGTAGCCTTCGGAAATTTTCTGAAATAATCCGGAATTGTCGTAAAATGGCCGAAAACTCCTTGATTTACTAAACAAAATAATATTGGCCTTTTTGCAACTATTTTTGTTTTTGTTTTCTGGAAAAAAAATTACTGTTTTAATGAATTTTTTACTGTTAGTGTTAAAATGCCTGAATTTAAACTGTTTCATGTTACAAAGCTAAAAACTGAAGTGTTTAGTGTTATCGACGTACCACCATTCAGATCCTCATATAATAGTTTTTCGCCGTATCGGTACTTTTTATATGAGGAAGTCTATCGCCCGCAGAAGAGCTATGAAAACCATTATCCCACCTCTTGTGCAACTTCCAATCCCGAATCTCGCCCCGATTTTGCTTTTAAATCCCGAATCCCAAGCCCGAAATAAGGGAAATCCCGGATCCGGAAAAACCTATTGACTACCCTTTAAATGTACCCTAGATAGCTAGTAACGCCAGATTTCTCTTCCGTTGGCTTGCGGGTCATCAGTGCCTCAACATGAAACACCCGACCCTGTTATGCAGTCCAGATCGATCATGGTATCGTAGATTTCAGTCCTTCTTTTCTCTTAAAATCCATCGAAGTCCTGTATCCGAGCTAGCGAGCGTTTGCAAAACAATGAAGTTAAGTGATATCACAGCTTTGTCGCAGTTTTTTGCCGTGACATTGGGGCATACATGAAGTGAAAACAAAACGGTCAAAGATGACTGGAAAAAAGTTGATGGTGGTCGAACATGGCGGAGAAATGTTCAACCTGTTCACGGTTTTCCGAGAGGTTTTCTGGAAGTTTTTACAGTGCATTTCTTTCCCCACGGGCTCAGTTAAATCCAAACAAAAACGAAATCCCTGTTTTTATCGTTCTCCTTGGTTTAAAAGACTGCGGTGGGTTTTAAGACAGACGATGGATGTCACAATATCAAGTGGTACTTTGGTTTAAAGAACTCGCACGAGAACTATCGTCTTAGGTTGGTATTAGCGGGAAAATCCTAAGCGATCCGATCTCAGCTGGTAAGATCCTGAATATAATGTTTCCCGTCATTTATATTCCAGTGGTGTCTGTGGTACCCATAGCCTGTGTGTAGACCCCCCCTCCCCCTCTCCCTCGGTGGACAAAACCTTCCTCGAACTGCAGAATTCTTTATATTCTACTCAGCCCCATTCAATAATGGCTAATTATGATATAAACACCAATGAAATACCAGGTGAGCTTTCGCGCGAAATCTTGGTATCTTCGCATGTGAAAATAACATGTTATTTTCACATGTGGAAATATCACCGTTGCTATGGCTACATAATAAATCGCGCCTTTCACACCAAAAAACTATTAAAGTGAAATGGTTTGGTAGTTCATGGGTGTTTATATAATAAATAGAATATTACATGGCCGCTTGGAGATGCGAAATTTCTCTTCTCGTGTTGAAAAAATATTTCACTCGTTCTCTGCGCTCACTCGAAGAGAAATTTCGTATCTCTGCGTGGCAATGTAATATCCTCTATATATCTTTTGAAGCTTCCCAAATGCAATGGCACAACCATTTGATTTTCCCACCAGAAATCCAGTTTCGCCATGCTAATGGCAAGTACCCCTACTAGAAGTTGATGGTTTCAACTCCCTTTGGGAGACTATGGATTTCATTTTGACTTCTCTTCTGTTTCACCGGTTGAAGAAAGAACATTCTGATCATAATTCTTTTGTTGTACCGTCAAACCCAGTTTAACGGACACCCGTTTACTATGGACACCTCATTATTACAGACAGCTTGCTTTGTCCCTGGGGAAAGAAAGCCCTTACTTTTTCTCTAAACTCAACCAGTTTAAGAGGGACATTCTGGTACTACAGAAACTTGGGCCCCCTCAATGTCCGTGTATATATTTAATAACAAAGTTTCCTATACACGATAGTTGACAATACACCTGTTTGCCCACATAAGCCTCGGTTGCGTGCTAATGATGTCTTGGTACCTTGCAACGAATGCTAGAAATCTTTTACAAAGACAAACGTCAAGACAAAAATATCCTTTATTATCCTTATTGATTGCAACCCTTTGCATTTCCTCTTACGCCATGTTTACCAGGTTTACACCAGTTTTAAATTCCCTTTGCTTCGTGGCTTCCCTTTTGATGTGGGATCCCTGCAAAAACCATTTATCAGTACAGTATTTTAATAAGTGAAAAATACAACGTTTTAAGCCGTGAATAGTTCTTCATAAAATATTAATTCACCTTGCCTCTTGGCAAACGTACTAAGAGGAGCGAAAAATGATGCAAAGCCTTTGAAGAGATTTATTTTCGTCACTTTTGAGTGATGAAAAGATCTAATAACGATGGTAATTTATCCATGAGGTGAAAAAGCAAAAATGATAATGAAATTGAAAGCTGTCCATTTCACAAATTCAGTGGTCTTCTGCGATTAAAATATGCAACGAAGATCCTTGAAATTTGCCTTTCTGGAAGTATGGCGTGCGTTTTACCTATAATTCAAGACAATAGGTAGTTAATCTTCCAGCTAAGACTTATTTGGAGACCAAGCGGTCAAATGAGATCCATATGGCCAATGTCTATCCCGCTTTCGGTAGCAAGACGCATCTTAGCCTGCGTGGTAGGCACAAAAAGGGGAGGGGAGGGGGAGGGAGAAAAGCGCGAAAGCGGGGAAAGAGAGGCTAGACGCACCTTGGAATACTAGGGAGCTTAAGCAACGTTGACGACGACGGTAAGGAGAAAGGCAAAAAAAAAAAAGGTTTAGATTAGCAAGCTAGGCAGGTGCATCACTTTTTTTTTGTACATTTCTTTGCCGTCGCTGCAAGACTACATCACGAAATTGTCCAATTTCACGGATTTTTGGAGGACATGAACACAAGTCAACGACTTTCCTTTTCTTTTTCCTGAACTTTGACACAGTCCCAAGGCAACTCCAGAAAAATTTGCCAAAATTTGACGAATTTGACTAATAAGCGGGACAAAGTTTGAAGCATCTCGCATTGACTTTTAAGTTGCGTTTCCGAAAAGTAGCAATCGCCTTCGTTGTTGCTTTGCTCTCTACTATTACTGTTACTTTTACGGGAGACTTGCGGAGTTGCCATGGCAATTCCCATCTGAAAACTAAAACTTTCATCTTAGACTGTTCACAGTCACCTATTTTTCCGTAACATCGCCTATATCGAGCGCTTTGCGTTACGGCCAGCCATCTTGAATGAGTGTCAAAAATACCACCCCCCGCTCCCTAGGTAGTTTTGAGACTCGTCCAAGATGGAGGGTCTCAATGGGGTTAACTGATAGGCGTAAAACGGCCAAAAATTTAGTCGATAGCCGTAAAAATTGAAAAATTTTAACCGTTAGCCGTAAATAGGGTAAAAAAAGAGTTAACCGTAAAAGAAATTGTTCCCTAGATTTGGTACTTTTAAGGAAGGTACTAACTCACTTATGGTTGCGTTTTTTATTTCCCAGCTAGTTTCCAGAGCGAAAGTGTGGCTTCTTGCTGGGGATTAATATTTGCGATTTTAAGGAGGTCGTGCCCTCGAAACATTAGTGAAACAACACGCAGAGATGTCACTGTTTGTAAAACACGTTGCCGATAAACAACATGTCCATGTTCTTCTCTGACGCTACGGTAGACATTGCCAGGCCTAGTCCCTGTACGGCGTCTTCCCACGCAATCTCGGTCAAGGCATTTCGGTGGCGAAATCGCTGGGACCACGTGACCCGAAACGTATTAGACGAGCGAAATAATGAGGCCTACGGACAAGGCAACGGTAGACAGTGGTTCCTTACAGTCCTTTGCTATCATTAAAAACACTGGACACGGGAATTTTGTTATTGGCCGTTTTCACACTAGAGCTAGGCAGCTGTACACAGGCCATTGCGGTGACGGATAATCCCGTCTTCAAACTGTCCGTCGAAATTGGCAGATAAAGTCAGGTGGATTGTTCATTCAAAATGAAAACTATTCCATTTTTACATTAAGAGGTATTACCTATCTGGCGCGAATCATCAAACGGATAACCCACCTCACGCAAATAATCCGTCTCTAGTGTGAAAACGGCCATTTCTGTTGTAATGAATGTCGCGCCCCGGCCTTGAGTTGTGCGTTCGCGTGTGTGCTTTGCTATTTTTTTCAAATTGACTATTGACATTTCTATTTGTAAAATAATATTAGAAGTGCAATACTTTATAAAAAGTATGATCTATCAAATGTTAAAATTTTTCAAAAGAATAGCTTATTTCATCCCGAGATGATCCTAAGACCAATATTTTGCTTTAAAGATACAAAAAATACAGGTTAATTAATATCTAACTTTTTGAAACAAAAGAAGTTAATTTTTAACTTTTTTGTTAACCGTAACTGAAAAAATTAACCGATAGCCGTAAAAAAGCCAAAATTTTAGCCGATAACCGTAAAAGCCACTACCCCATCGACACCCTCAAGATGGCTACCCTTAACGCAAAGCGCTCGATCTCGGCGATCTTACGGAAAAATAGGGGATTGTGAACAGTCTACTTTCATCTTTGCCAGTCCAATTTCGCTATGTTGACCATTTTCCGATATATATATATATTTTTTTATGGCAACGTAGTTAATACCCAAACATGAGAAGTGTTGTCCCTAACAAAATCTAGTCGAGTTACCGACGTTACCAGATGACTGGTCTCCGCACAAGACGGAGGGGATGCTATGGTTGGTTTGACAGCAAGAGTCAACCGAGTAAGTCAAGCCTGTCTAGGAAAACGACCTCTGTCTAAACCCAGGCGTTTTCACGGATCGGTGTATATTTAGATATTACATTTTAGATCACTTTTCGCGCATAAATGGAAGCCCTGCTCCTTCTACGAGTGCATTCGTGGTGAAAGGCTTTAAATAAGGAAAAGAACGTAGGGTTTTGTTCTGATTTCGCCCGCGCTAATATCGTTTTAGTACATGAAAGGTGTTCGCCAGGGGAAATGGACCCCTGCTAAAACCCTGTTTTGGAAAATTCCAAATGTATGTATAGTGCGGATCAATTGAATTTTCTGATCAACTGACCACCTATGTAGGTACCCCCTACGCCCACCGACCTAAGTCAACTTCAACACTTACTTCTCACCTAAGGCAAAATAGTGATTTAGGGGAGGGGTAGGTAGTCAGTTAACCGGAAATCTCAATTGATCTTATAGTTCTTGGTTTTTGTTATTTTACCTGCATGAGGAGGGCAATCATGAATTGATTTTATATACGTAGTTCACTCCGTTTGCCCCTGTACAGTACACGCAAGGTGAATTATCACACTTTGGGAAAAACAGGCCAGCAAAGCATTTGCTTGATTTGCCAACAGCATTATAGGCTATCTTGCTCTTTCCGGACCAACACTGGGCAAAGAACTGTATGCCAAAATATTTGTAGCCAGCTTTCAAAGTTGCTTTAGCACAATCACTCACGAGCCTGTGGACAAAACGAACCAACAGACCCTTGCATGGTTATTTCATCTTTTGGCATGGACCACTACTGGAAAGAACGTCTTGAAATAAGTAAACTTGCTAAGTTTGAGAGTTAGTTGGGGTCAGATTGTTTCCCCCGCAATACAATGGTCTGTAAAATTTGGCGTCTTTGAGGAGGTATATCTTTGTCAGTTTTTAACAACTGGGCAAGTCTATTAACTTTAATGGCGCTCTTTCCAGCGAAGTCGACCAATTTTCCCTGGCTTGTCTATGTCAAAAGTTAAAAAAGAGCTTTGGAACTTTTAGCGTTACAATAACGCTTAAGATATAACTGGGCGTTAGGAGCCCATAACCCAAAGTGAGCAACTCCCATATTAGATCTCTGTCACGACATTTTTTCAAACCGGTTTATCTTTAGGTACATTTGAGAACTCTTTTTCCGCGAAAAATGGAAGCTCTGCTCCGTCTATGATGGAGCTCATTTGACTGAGTATAAGACGTGAAAAAGGAAAGAAAACTAAACGTCTTTGAAGGCTAAAAAATATACCATTTTCAGGTCTGTTCGTCTGCTGACTGCATGGTTTGTGGGACCTGAAGGATAATCTAAATTCGCACTATATTGATTGCCCCCGCAGGGATTTCGCCCAGAAGGCGAAATCCCGAGAGGCACTCTAGTAACTCGCGCGTATATTAAGGGAAGTACTTACAGCTGAAATATACATTCATACAGTCAATATAGCAAAAATCTCGATTTGCTTGAACAGGGGCCGCGAGGAATCGGTAGGTAATGATGACGTTTCTATCGTTTGCGCCCGCAAGTACGAATGGTTAGGATGACGTAAAACACAAAAAGCTTACAATAGGTAGATTTTGTGACATTGATTGTGCAGTCATACTTCGATACTCTTTTGCGTTACGTGTTATCAGTGACGTTCTGTGGAGCAGTTGTTATGAAAGTTATAGACCAAAAGACACTCGTTAAGCGCAGATGAAGTTATAAGGTGCGTAGAACAGTGTATATTTTAACACTAAGTGAGTTTGCCAGACACGAGTTCACAAATCTTTGATTGGAAACTTTCAGCTGAACCTTGCCAGACACTCTTTCTCTCTCTTTGACCGGAATAAGACTCGGCTCAAAACAAACAAGACCAGTGAATGATTCAACGGCTAGCTTATCACTAGTAGAACGATGGACGATTACAGAAATTCTCCCAAATTCTGTGCTGGCTTATTCCCTGCTCACAGATGTCCTTCCGCTATAAAGTTTAAAATAAGACTAGAATGCGCAAGCGTGAATTGATCAAACGTCCTTTTAATTTCTAACGCTTACTTTCCGGCAAATGAAATGAACTAACTGTAAAAAGTGAAATAGAAAATTAAATAGCGAAAAATTAAATTCCTAATTAAATCTTTTCGTATGGTTTAGAATAAACTATTCTCGAAACTGAGAATGTTTTGATCAAAGCTGTGTAAATCGAACCGAAACTGTGCATGGGACTTTGTGTTTATTTCCTGTATTTATCTCACCTATTGTATGGAATATGTGTGAAAATCTTCATTATGAATCGGTATATTTCAAAGAGCTACACAAGGAGCAAGAATACTATATACAGGGCGGGGGCAGCTGTAGTGTCAACTATTACTAGTTCTAAACATAAACTGGTTAGTGAAATAGCACTGACATGAGTACATGGAATTTGCTCACTTAGAGTTATAGGCTCTGGGCGCTTATTGGTTGAGGGAGACCAACAGGAGGGGCCCGGGGGGTACTCCTGGGAATTCTTGGTGGGGGTGTGCCGCCCGGTTCTCCAAATCCTGACCCTATCAAGTTCAGAGCAAAAATTGTCCTTTTCCACACCCGTTTAAAGACCACACCTCTAAAATCCATACCCGTTTTCAGACCTGGCCTTTAGGCAGTAATTAAGTGCGTAGCCGTTTTCAGACCAAAAAGGCCCAAAAACCATACCCTTTGGGGCGGTAAGTGACTCACATCAAGATTTAGTGACTCACATTATGTCCTTATAAAGAAACAACGATTTTATTATCACTGAAACGTTTGCAAATCACACTTTTTAATTTTCTGAGGAATGCTCAGTGTAAATGGATGTTGTGGTCAATTGACTCAAGAACAATAATTGCGTACAAGCATGAACAGCTTGTGGACATTGTGAGAACTGCTTTGTTGTTACTGTTGACATTTAGTCCCCGCTATTGCGTTTTTCTTCATGATTTTGACTTTATTGTTCCTTTGATAAAGTCTTTTTATTTAATTCAGACATGTTAAATAACTTTGCGTATGACATCTAGATTGTTGTACTCAAAAACGCGAAATTAAAGTGATTCAAAATATACAATTTTCGCAAATTTAAGTGTGGCGAAATGTGCTCTCATCAAAATCGCGAAATAAACATGTCGCGAAAATTTCATGTAATAAGGTACTTATATGGCCTATATAAAGGAGTAACCCCTCCCGGGGGGAGTAGCCTGCGTAGCAGGCACTTGGAAATAGTTCAATATCCTTCTTGCATACTTATTAGCATTTAGTTATGGGAAGTCACCACAGGCGAGCAAGCTCGATGGGGAAGACACGCAGGTACTAATAAAGTAAGTGAATAATTAACACATCCTTATATACTATGCGCGAAGTCTAATGAATATTAATAAGGTATAAATAGTTCAATATCCTTCTTGCATACTTATTAGCATTTAGTCATGGGAAGTCACCCTAGACTGCCCCTATCGCTGTAAAATCCCCTACATAATCCTAACATAAACACCATGATGAACTCTTACCCTTCCCAATCCTTAACTAAATTGAACTCTCCCAACCCTATCTAATCCCCAAACCCATACAACAAAATTTTAACAAATTGCCACAAGTCGATGAGGGTTGTCCAATACTCACCACTTGTTCAAGTTGTGAAAATCGTGGTGTGTGTGTTTCTGTGTGCTTCAACTTGTACGAAGGGTAAAAGTGGATAGATCAGCCTTTCAATTCATGCGATTGGTACTGGTGGTGAAAGGGTGATAGTTCCGTGTGATAACTTGAGGTATCACATATAGTTAAACTGCATCTCACTTGCAAGTGCAATTGGGGAACACGCATCTCATTAGCGACACAAAGAATTGGTTGGCAAAGTTGTCGTGAGGGGGCCGTTTCAAGTGGTACGACTCGTTCGAGTCGTGCAAATCGCATCTGCTAGAGAGAGGTTACACGGGATCTCACACGTACGACCCTCTCAGAAATAAATTTTGCGACAGAAAACTAGCCCTTCGACATAAAAGAGAAATCTACGAATCTTGCCTTTTGTGAGTCACACAATACCGTCACACTAAGTGCCTAACCTAAGGCAAAGTCTCGTGAGAAACTAGCATTGAATATAACAACAACCTTTACAGTGCGAAATTTGCAAGAGTCCGCCCCTCATATCGTACAAAGGAGGACAGTTGCTCAAAGACATACCGGCATGGGAGCCAAACTATGAAAAGGCTAAAACACGCGCCGGGCACGGGGAGTCATGCAGGCCAATCAACCCCCTTTTAGCCCTGTTACACGGTATTGTACGTATTAGTATTTACGCAATCATTTTAACGCGTCGGCGGCCTCAACATGCTTAGGTGCGCGATTCAATTTAAGGAAGTGAGGCGCATTGGATTATGG